ATAAATGCTATCACATAATTGAGCAGTCCTGGCTTTATAACACGCTATCAAAGATCACTAACCAGCATTGCGGCAGAGTTCTTGCGAGAAACCTCTGACACATAAAGCCACGCGAGCCTAATAATGATATCTCATCACTGTCAACGTTATGTGTCTATACGAGGGCGCGAAGAACCATAGCCCTCGGTACTCATTTAGTCGCGTATTCTAATGCTCCAGTCCCAGCGGCTGGTTTGCCTTGCCGTGGTTATTGCAATAACCCCCAGCCCATAAAATGGGAGATTATGATATAAGGACAGGCACCCAACGCCTCGCACAACCCAGCTCATGTACAACAATGAAATCCCCCAGCGAAGCACACGAGCACGACACTCTCCAAAAAACAACCCAACGGACACACTGTCCACTGTAAGAAACATAGCACAACAACAAATACACACTGTAAACACAACATTCAGACATCACGGCCTTGTATACCCCACCTCGCCGCACCTGCTCAAGGAACATCAAAGGTATCCCAGTAAAACGCTAAAGAAGGTCTTAACTTTCAAAATTTATCCCGCTATTAGTGAACAACCCATACTTCTTAACTGTTTACCCTGTGTTGAGTCACAGGGTCTAAAATACTGTTCAGCCCAGCGACAACGAAACTTCACCATTAATCATACTCAGAGAAGCGCACAAAACCACCGCGATTTGACATATCGAACTCAATCGGTGATTAGCCCTGGGTGGTGTGCCATGACTTCACGAGCATCAGCAGTATACATGGTCAGAGAGATCCTTGGGCACACTGCCTGATCCAAAGCCTGCTCCTGCGCACCCTCATTGACGCGCTTCTCCGTGACCTTGTTACAACAGCCAGGATTGTCTCGGCCTCTCTGTGCGTTCAAGTTTCTTATCTCTGAAATGATGTGGAGCTAATAATTACCCTAGCTCCGTACAGAGCGCGGTATCAGCTCCTTCCCCAACGGCCACAACACATACACAGCTTCGCCATATCACGTGTCTCCCACCAGAGATGGACAATTTGTTACAATTGATGACCCTACTTTGACACAACACTTAACACCCCAAGTCCTACAATCTTGTATTCCAGCATCATCATTCTTGTGCTCAGAATTCTTTGGATTCTTTCTGGACAAATCTGTAATGACAGTACATGATCAACATATCGCAGTACTAATACAAGTAGGGTTCACTACCCTACAAAATCCTCTGTATTAGCCTATTATAATCATCCTTGCTCCTATTTTAGTCCCATATATCAAGCCAGTAGTGCTGAAGTAAGCTCATTCAAGTGGAAATGGTCTGTTTAAAGAGGGAAGGAACTGGAGAGCACCTGGATATGCAATCCCAGAAACTCGTTTTGATCTCTGCACCTGGTAGCAAGTGTCCTCTTTGGTGACAAGACTTTTCTTTCTGGAATCTTAGTTTCCTTAATTTGTAAAAAAGGTGGTTGACTAGTGATCTCTGATGGCCATTAGAGACTGAAAACTATGAGTCTTTCTCTGGTAGAATGTTCCTCTGCAATCTGTTACATTGGGTTTATTTTTGCAAAGCAAACTTGTCAGTTCTAAAAAATCCCAAGTCAGTCATGCGCTCACAGTGAGTTTACCAACGTCATGGGTAACACTTACCCGAGTTTTATCATTACTCATAGTAATACATGATAGTTGATCCCGTCACATGTGCAAGCAGAATGCTACGCCAACCCATGACACAAAGGTGAGTGACATACTGTTTCATAATAAATACCAGAACTCTGATGTACCCGAGGCGCTTTTCAAAATAATGTTTCTTGTAGTGTCTGTACACGCCATTTCTTAGTTTCTGCATATACACGTGGGTACAACCTTTATCATCCCTCCCATTCTGGCACGACTGAATACCTAAATATTGGTTGTAATCGAACTCAGCTGATTCCAATGATTGTGAAGGAAAGGAAGGACTTGGCAGAGCATTGCTACACTGAGATTTCCGTATTTCTTAGTACACCATAAATACTATATCGACTGCGCGTCTTTTCATAACAGAAGCTGATCACTCCTGGTCGATAACCGGGCGGAAGAGTCAATGGAGCGAACATTCTGTCCCTTACAGCGCTCTAATTATGAGGTCCTAAGTCTTGTCAGCACACACAGTCCAGGGTCGCAAAGCGGGCATTTGAGCTGAAGAGGGGCAATTCTCTGTCCATTCCACTGCAGAGGACATGCAGGCAGGAGAGTTTCAGTCCAGTCACTGCTGTAAGGGAATCGGGTGCTTCGTTGTCTGCAGCTCTCAAGCAGCAGCACTCTTTGTAGTTGGAGCTACATGTGTAGGCCATAGCTGTGAGCGCCGATTGCCAGGTTCACTCAGGAAACGGGCCTTCTAGGGTATGATATGCCCAGTTTAATTGCACATAACACCCTGGCTTTTCCTGCTGTTTGCTTGAGTTTGGCGGCATACGAGGAGAGATACGGGCCAAACGGATGTAAGGTTGAGCACTCAAAATCTTCACGCAGAGTAATGTACCAGTTCAATGAGAATTTTTATTTTTATCTTTGAACAGCTGTGAAACATGTTGTACACCGGGGAACCTCCACAGCCCTTCTACACAAATGGCAACACACTTAAGCAAAATACATGTATCCACTGCGATTCACAAACACCACTCCTTCGTGATGTCGATAATCCTTTGGATCTGTTAATAATCTTTAGCAGACTTTTAGAGTAAACGAATAGTTAAAGCATTCAATGTACATGTTGAACTCTTTTTAATTTGTGAATTGAACAAATTTTATGACCCTCTCTTCTGTAATAAGCAACTTTTTATAACAACTGTGAATTGTTTTGGCAGTATTGCACTATTAATAAGGAGTCGTTTGTGTTGATACTGAATACTACTAATTAAGTCGTACTTTTCCCAATGAACCACTTTACAACGTCGTTTCTCATACATCCATCATCATTGATTAACCAGTTGTCCTTTAATGAAATAGAAATCGTACAAGCTACGCTCCGTTGTTAAACTGTTGGTAAAAGTTCTCTCGAAAGCAATATCAAAATTGGAGTTGAAATGATTAAATGAAGAAGATTTGAGGACATAACTACTGCATACATGATAAAGAAAAGACCAAGTCAGGGTACAGCAGTGGCCTGCTTGTGAACCACCACTTAGCCCCACAAGGGTATGATCCGCCTGCCTTGGCCTCCCAGAGTGCTAGGATTACAGGTGTGAGCCACCGCCCCTGGCCTGTATAATTGTTTTTCAAAGAACATTGACTCACTCTCTCCCTTTTTCTCACTCAGGCTCTTGGGAATTATTTCCTAATTTATTTATTATGGAATTAGCCACATTTATTTTACTTTGGATTCATTTTCATAAGGAATTACACATACTCTAATCCATATTGCCACACATTTGCCACACAAATCTCATTGCCCGCCATACAATGAGACTTATACACAAAGTGAAGAAGGAAATGCTTATACACAAAGTGAAGAGGGAAACATTTGGAAGGTAATGTCAATGCTATTATATATTTGCCATGGCCATTGTAGCATGGATTGAGAGTTAAGGCTTCGTTTTTTCTTTATTATTGTGAAAAATTTATTAAGTGTTAAGATAGATGTTATTCTGAGAAAGTATATTATGGGTATTTGTTAAGTAAGGGATGATTGTAAATTTATAGGTGAACCTTAGTTTTTTAGTCTCATTGCTTAAGCTATTGGATGTTATTATTTATTCTTAAAGGGTCCTTTGTTTCCCTTTTCTTTTTACCTTGCTGCCAAGCCAACATCACATTTTGTTTTTATCATCTAAGTATCTTGAAACAAGCCTTTCAGATAGTTTGAAAAAATAACTCACGAAACACATGTATTTCATTCATATCCTTAACCTCCTCAATGTCATCAAATAATATAAATAATAGATAATGAACCTTGTGAAATTACTGATATTTGACTGTTTTTAACCTATAAAATGGCAAGTTCCTATGGTTCAGCTTAGTACCATCAAATAACAACATTAGCAGCTATCATCTATTAGATGTTTACTGTGCCAGATGCTCTCACTGAATTCTCAAAACATCCTGTATGTTAGGTATTATTATTCTTGTTTTCCAAATGTCTAAAGTGTTCGTTTCCACAACTTTCATAAAATCAGTTAAGTGGCAGAGCCAGGATTCAAATCCAGGTCTATGAGTCTCTGTGCTCAACTATTACACTATCCTCCCTCACCTACACAGGACTTGTGAGATTGTCCATCCTGCCCATTTAGGAAAGCTCCCATCCACACAATTCCCCTTGCTTTCTAAGGGGCTTTTTTTCCATCAATGTAGGTTAGGTTTGAATTTCTGGAATCTTCCGTTTTAGTATTTTCTTAGGCTTCTTTGAGTACATTTTAATTTGAGCAAAGAAACATTTACTGGGTTTTTTTTTGCTGCGTTCATTTGAAAGCCCTTTTGACATAGTCATTATTTTTTGAGTTTTTATTACTACTTCCTTAATTGTTGCATTTGGAATATTCATCTTTAGCTCTCTTTAGTATTCCCATTGCACTGCCCTGTAGCCTTCTCATATCCTCTTTTCCTTTACCTGTCTCCCTTGTCAGCCTTTACCTTTCCTTTTCTCTGTGTTTTATGAAGAGCTTACCTTGTCTCAGCCAGGATTTTTTTCTTTCTTCTCTCTCATCCATCTTAAATGTCAGTTTCTTTTTGGAGGCTGAGCCCAGACTGCTGCTTGTTTGATGAACTGGGTAGTTGAGTACTCAGAAGGACCACTGGTTCCTACTACCATCTGGTCATTGCAGTGAGTGTTTTATTTTAGAGTGTGTGTTTTTATGTGTGCGCACATGTATATTTGTGTGTCATTCCTTTGTGTGTTTTTTCAAACTGAAAGCACAAGATGGAGATTCTATACCCTTTTGTTGTCTAATTTTAGTTAATATCTTTGGGGTATAAAGCCTAGGTGTTGCTTAATTTCTTTGTGTTAATTTTTTGTGTTTTTCTACTTTGAAGATTTTAGAACTTGTAAACAACAGAATCTTCCAGTCCAGAATTCGGCATAAGAAAGCTGTACGGCATATCCAGTTCACAGCCAATGGGAAGACTGTTATTTCAAGTTCTGATGATTCTGCAATTCAGGTGAGAGGGAGGATGAACTCCTGACATATGTAATGCTGACTCAAAGGAACACTTTGATTATGCCTAAAATCTGATGTGCATTTTAAACCTATTACTTTGGGCATACAATCATATTATGCACATGGGCTTAGATGAAACCTATTGATGTTTCTCTATGGATGAGGCAGGCAATTTTACTAGAATCCTCTACTGGAAGGTTGTTTATTTTGATAATTAAGGGTTCATTTGAGTTTTCCTGCCTGCCTTGGTATTTGGATTTGTATCAGTAAGTATACTTTTTGCTATATTTATGCAATTTAAAAAAATTTTTCTTTACAGTAGTAAAATCTGATTGAAATTATTGAAATCATTTCATGCTTTCATTGTGAGAAAAAAATGTTTATTATGGGAATGAAATCCTGTGAGAAAATAATAGTTTGTCATAATGAAAGATTATAGACATGGAGGCCTTAAGCTGTATATTTTTAAATTTACTTGATTGTTATTAAAGTTCCAATGGACATACTTTTAAAATTCAAACAGTATTACAAGGCTTATTATGAAAAATAGACCCCTTCTTCCATTCTCATTCTCATGAAGCACTTTTAGCTTTTGGATGTTTCTTTTGAAATTTACCTTCATGCCTCCATATGGCATGCTTATAGTGCTATTCTTGATTTTCCCGTTTGAGGAATTATCTACTGACATCTCTACAGTAAGATGAGGATTTAGCTGTTTTCCTCCTCCCACCTGTCCTACCTTCAACATATGTGCATGCACAAACACCCATTTATCAATCCCCATCATCCCAATACACTTAACAGCGAAATTTTGTTTACATCCTTAGTGTCATTATTATGACTGTGCATACTAAGGGTACTGTGAGTGCGTTTCCTGCCTTCATGTGGTTTAGGAAAATTTGACCTTTGGGTGTAGTTGGATATTATTTTACCCTAGAACTTTGAAGACATTGCTCCATTTTCTTCCAAGGTCCAAAGTTCATGTTCAAAAGTTTGAAGCTGCTTTGCTTTCTAATCTTTCTCTATGGAAGATTTTAGGATCTTCACTTTGTCCCCAGAATTTTGAAATTTCATGATGATGTGCCTTGGTGTGTGTTTTCCTTCATTTGTTTGAATATTTAGTATCCCTTCTTAATTTGGAAACTTAGATTTTTAAATTCAAGGATATTTATTTGAATTATTTCTTTAATTTTTTGGTCCCATTTGCTTTCTTTTTCTGTAGCACCTGTTATTCAGATTTAGATTTCCTGGACTATCTTCTAGTGTTCTTGTCAATCAATCAATCCATCAGCCGATGTGGAGAGAGTATAGTTTTCTTTTTTCATTTCACATTTCATCTTTCTATGTTGTGCTCTATTTTCTGGGAGTTTTTTTCATTTTTACCTTCTAGCTCTTTTATTGAGTGTCATATTTCTACCATTATGTTTTTAATGCCAGAGCATCCATTTGTATTGTTTATTCCTTTTGAAGAGCAGTGTTCTTGTTTTATAGATGGAATATCTTACACACACATATATATAATTTATTTGTATACACACACATTTATATATTTTTTCCCCACAAATTTTTAGCTCTCTGCATAGTTACTATTACCTCCAAGTTGCTTTCTTCTGTTTGGTTGTTTTGACCTCTTATTTTCTCTGAAAGAGATAATCTCTGAAAGATGATATGGATGGAAAACCATCCATATCATGTCATCCATATCTTGTCAGTCTCTTCAGGTCTTTTATCTTGGTGGTCTCAGATTCCTAGAGAAGAATCTTCTGGTCTGCTGTGTGGAGGATAAACCTGGTTCACAGGTTCTCAGCACTCAATGGGGGAAGAGAACTAGGGGTAGATGCTGGATCTTAGCATTTAGTATGTATACCTTCTCTTGATCCCCAGTTCTCAAAAATATAAACCTATCCTCAGTTGTGCTGGTGCTCTTTAATCCAGATATTCTTTCTGGTTTGCTTTCATTGTCTGTAGGGGCATTGTCTCTACTTTCTTTCCTTTTTTCTCATATTAACTTTGTTTGGAATTCAGCAATGATTCTTTCCTTTTTCACATGAAATCAATTTTTCTGAACTGTTTGGAGGGATGAGAAAGCCAAGCATTTCTAGCTTCACAGCTTTGTAGCTCCTTCTTCTGTTGTTTTTCATGAGGCATTAAAAATATGGCCTTGTCCTTTGCTCCATCCCTTTCCCTCACTGTTTTGCACCTTGTCTTTCATTTGTTGCTTTTATTCATGTTCTGCTCAATTTGTATTCTATTCCCTATGGTTTTTCCTGGTTTTAGAGTTGTCCTGGTTAATTTTGAGAGGGTCTAGCCCTTCCAGATTGTACCCAGCCCCTTGCACTCAGTGTATGCTGCTTCCCTTGAGTTGCCATTTTAGTAGGATTTTAGAAGTGAAGGAGATAAATGCATATGTTCAGTGGAAATTACTAAATTCTTTTATTTAATATATGTTTCTTATGGTGGCAATATTTAATTAATCACATTATTAAAAATTATTTGGAAGAATCTTTTTATGTTAAGTCTTTGTGAGTGCTATGGTGTATGGAATGAAATGGGCTTCAGTACAGAAACTTATTTATTATAGGCTCCCATGGTATTGGTGTATTATTAATAGCTGTGAAACTTGGTGTAATAATCACCTTTCTTTCTTTCCAGATGTCTTTGAAATGGGTAAAACTAAACTACATCTGATAAAATTCTGTTGAGATATTGTATACTATATAGTCTTTCTATCAAAAATTAAATTTCTAAGGTTTTATGACCTGCTTGAAGACTTCATATATTCTCAGCCAGAGGGAAAAATAATTTCCAGAAATATTTTTAGAATAGGAGTTAGATTATTTTTTGAAATACCAGTTGTGTTTCATCCTTTTTTTCTGTTCTGCTCAGAATATTTTTTACATTTACAATGTTTTAATGAGTATACATTCATGTAACAAAACTTTTGGTAGGTATTTCCAAGAAATGACAGGTTGGATTTTGTTTTAGTTTTTCAGTGTTTTTGTAAATGACTAAATGGAGGTTTTCTTAATCATCTTTGTATCCCCACTGCCTGGGATGTTGTAGGGGTTCAGTAGATCTTTGAGCTGAAGTTATTGCCAAAATTTGCAGAATCAACTCACCTAATTATATTTGGAGAATCAACTCACTCTAATGATTTAGAGTTGTGAAAATTAAGGTCTGCCTTGGTAGTTTTGGGTCCTTTACCCTGAGGTGAATAAAGCTCAGGTATTAGTCATGTTCACCTGAGCCAATATGTAAGAATATATTGTTTCTTGCTGGTATAAGATGTTTCTTTAGTATTTCTAAAATTTAAATTTTATTTGTATAGCTGGAAAAATTCTACAGTGTGTATATATTGCAAAAATTATAAGTAATGGTAGAAACATCCCCAGACTCAACTTTATTACATTTGACTAATGCTGGTGGAAGTTTAGCTGTTATATCAAGGTGATTCAATTAACACAGTATGTTTGAGTTCAACAAAAAAAGCATCACTGTCATCGTTGCTTTGGTCAGAAAGCTTCTATAACAAAAACTGTGAAGGCTATTCTTAATCGTCCTTCAGTGACTGTCAAATTCTTTGTTACACCTGCTCAGGAAGGCTCTCTGACTCCTTCACATTGGAGGGCAGCAGTAAGAAGCTAAGTTAGCAATGAGTGTTGAATTGGGCACAGCTAGGATTGGTGTTGGGTTCTTAAAATGCTGAAATTCCTAATTCATTCTCTTTAGAATTACACTCACTCCTAGTTGCTCTTCTGAAGTCCCCGTGCTCACATACAGGATCCCCTCCCTGCTCCTGCTATTCTGTTTCTGTGAATGAGCATTCTGAGACAGGAGCTACTGAGAGACCTGAGAGCCAGGGCTCGGTGCAGGGGATGGCTGCCAAATGCAGTGGATAAAGGAGTAGAGAAAGGAGAATAAGAGATGTCATTTATTTTACAGTATTGTCTAAGCCTGATAGGAAAAGGCTTAAAGACGTTTCTACTGTTTAACATTCATCAGTTAAAAGCTAGACCCAGAATGTTACTAATGTGCATACCTGTCGTCATGGCTGAATTTTGAAAATCTTTTTATTCTTTTCAAGCCTGCCTGATTGTCCACACCTAAAAGTTTAGCTTCTTCAGGCCTGCTAGGCTGTTTCTTAAATACCTCCCAACCCTTTTTCTCTACCGTTCCTTTGCATAACTTATGCTGCAGCCAGATTGAACCATAAGCAGGTCCGTATAATCCTTTCATATTTTCCTGTTTCTGTACTTAAAGTCCAGTATTCATTCCCTTTGAAGAGCCCTTCTCAGTTTGTGAATCATACTTACAACTTATTCCACAAGCCTACTTTGAATGCACTCTCTACCAAATCTTCTGTAAGGAATTGCTTTTTTGAGTTCAACAGAACTTTAATCTGTCATTATATCTTCTATTGTAGAATGTTTTTTGGCTTTCTTCTTTTTTTGGTTGGATGTCTCATTTTCTTTGCTAAACTCTTAAGTTTCTTTATACTCGATCCTTGTTTGATTTTATTTGCCTCACATACAGGTGCTAAGTAAACATTCGTTAAAGAAGTTAATTTGAAGTCCAGAATTAACAAGGCTGTAAATATAGTTGCTCTTTTTTTTTTTTTTTGTGGACAAGAGTCTTGCTTTGTTGGGCCAGCTAGACGTGCGATTGACCATGGCGTCAGCTAGCTTACAGCAACCTCAATCTCGGCTGGGCTCAAGCGATCCTGCGCCTCAGCCTGCCGGTAGTGGGATACAGGCAATGCGCCACCTCACGCCGCGCTGAATTTTTTTTTAGTTGGCCAATTAAATTCTTTCGTATGTCTTATTCGAGACGGCGGGGTCTCACCCGGCTTCTTGCTAGACTGGTTTCACTCCTGCCTCGAGCAATCTGCCGCCGGTTTGCACTCCAGACGGTGCGTCGGTTATAGCGTGAGCCACTGTGCCAGCAGTTGCTCTGATTTAAGTATTCAGGAATGTTCTACATGGACATGGCATAGAAATATTTTTGTTCTTGGTTATTTCTGCTGCCTCAGATTGTTTGTATGCTTTTTGGCCTGCAGTTACATATTATTTCAATCCTGTCTTTCCCTTGTGTCTGAGCTGCTCTTCTGGAACTCTCTCTGAATAATGCCCCTCGTCACTGTTTGATCAATTGAAGGATGCATTAGGGGATAGCTTGGGATCTCTGAAGCCTATGTATTCTATGACCCTGGTTTGAAGCTGCTTTATCAGGGTGACCTTCCTCGGGCAATAGGGCCAGCGGTGGAGCCGGTCTGCAGACGTTGCAAGGCTTGTGTTTTTCCACAATCTGTAATGTATTGGGATAATTTTCTCTGGAAATTAATACTGGTGAGGCTCACTGGCATATTTTGGCTTTTTTATATTTGGTATTATGTACTGTTTCAAGCTGATAGAAACAATTTCTATTTAGGACGAAAGTGCTTTTTTTTGCCCCTAGTCAAGTTAATGTAACCTAAGCTGTTTCTCTGTCTTGGTAAAACACAGGACCGTATTTTATCTTTACTCTTCTTTGTTGTTACTGAACATGCCCATGAGGGTTAACAGACTTTAGTAAGAGAGGACACTGCGCTTCACTCCCTCAATGGGGTAATGTGGGGAGAGGTTAAATAACGATTATTTTTTGACCTTTCAGGGTGTGGACCATTGGCAATTAGCGGGTGTCTTTCGCAAGCCTGCAGGAAACAGCTGAAAAACTTTAGCTCTTGAAAATTCAAGCTTGTTCCTTGGTCATTGAGTGAACAGGAAGGGTAATTGAAGACAGGTTTGTTTCCTTAAAAGTATTCAGCATTTGCATGTTTTTTTGCGATGCCCAAAAGTCCACCATGGAATTAAGTTACCTTATTATGTCAATTTTTTATGCTAGTCTTCTGTTCGCAGTCACCTGTATCTTTTGTGGTTGTTTATACTAAGTGACCTTAAAGGTGAACATACCCATGTGCTTAGCTCTTGTGTTATAGGTCATGTGTTGTAGCTGTCATTGCTTTCCACACGTCTTTATACAAATGTTCTTAAAAGTGTCAACTTCTAGGTTTGGTTTTTTTTTCAAGGGTATGGACCACTATTAGTACTGGGAGAATGGAAAGAGACTTCATCTGTCATCAGGTATACTTTTTGTGACTTTTTCTTTTGATGCTACCAGTTTTATCTCCTCGCTGACAAGACTGCAAAGGTATGTCATTCTTGCAAATAATGCATAACTATTGATATCATTATGTAGTATGAGTCCATATATATAAACAGAAACAATAGAATGTTAGGCCAGGGCTCGTGGCTCGACGCTGATCTTAGCAGTCTGGGAGGCGGGCTGGGCCAGATTGGCTTGAGGTTAGGACGTTTGAAACAGCCGGCAAGTCGAGGACCCCGTCTCTATATAATAGAAGTGATTGGGCAATCAAATATCTT